TTAGTCAATTCTTACTCAAATTTGATTAATAAAGTATCTATCTGAAGGGGATTTTAAAAGTATGAATTTAGGTACTAATAGTACACATTTATGTTAAGGATTGAGTGAGATATTGTATTTTCTTTGTGTTTTTCAATTTTGTGACAAAAAAATCATGTGATCTTGCCATTCTAAGGAATTATGCAAGCAGCAGTAATACAACGGGGTGAGAAAATACACCAATCGCAGTTTGAGTGCTGTACAATCTCCGGAAAAACTATCGGAACAAACATCCATGATATTCACATATGTAGGCAGTGATTAATCAGATGGTCCTCTAACGGTTTCTCCATTTTGATATCAGATGCAGAAAGATCGGATATTCGGATATTTCTCATGAGACCTGTATGTGTATTGAGTGTTTCATAGGTGCACATGGTACAAGAGAATTTGTCCATTGTTCGCAACAATCGAAGACAGGGCATAAATATGAATGATGAGACGCTAGAAGAGTTTACATACAAGTACATCAGATAGTTAATAATGGAAACTAAAAGCTTTCTTTTCCTTCTTTTCTTTTTTTTAAAGAGAAAAGAGAAACTAAGAAAAAAATGTATAAAGAGATAGAGATAGAGACAAAGATGTAACTATATTATATATGTATAAATCAGTGAAAAGCATTGTTCTTGACAGTCAATGCAGATTCTGAGCAATCCAATCGGCCTTCGACATGTGTGTCTTCGTCGAAAGGCTATTGAAAACAAAAATACTGGTCAGTTACTTCCCAGTTTATGTTGCATGCCTACACACCGACAGATCAAGAAAATCACTCCTATGACTGTTGGCATTAATAGCAGTTCCGTTCTACAAAAATTGTTAGCAGATCATTAACAACTATAGCAGTTCTGTACCCTTTGTCTTAGTGGTCCATGCTCATTACTATTGGACTCAAACACGATTTCTTGTAATATGAATGATCCCGGATCATCATCTCTTGAGATACTTTCTCGCGAGTTCAGCCTGTGAATGGTTTACTAGTTGAGCAAATAATTTGCGTTATTTCAATGAATGTACTACACTTACACTGCAAGGAAAGAGTTAGTGTATACTTTGCCTGCTCTGTAAGGACATGTTACTATCTACAAGATATAGTCACATACGTTTACTTTTGGCAAAATAAAGGCCAATGTATATCAAATTATCTTTCATGGATGCAGCCTGTTAACAGATCTGTTAAGCCTGCTCAATATTAAGACAAGATATCTTACACATATAAGGACCACCAAATCAAAAATGCTACAAAGTCATGTAAGCTAATACTGTTACAAGAAGTTATATTGTGAGAAAACTCACATTGTTAACAATCCAGTATTAATAGCATAGAGAAGCAGTTTGTCAATTATAGTGTCGGTTCTACAAACATGTCAAGTGTTTTGATTATATTAACAAAACAATATGTATACCTTTCGAATCCAGTTTTGCTTTTTCTGAGAAACATGCTCAATGTAACTGTAATAATTATATCCGATGCTATTGAAAGCCCTAAGGTAACACAGATGATCCACTGTATACTATTCAGAGTAGATGAACAATAATAAAGTGAAACACATACTACATCTTTTTGGAATGCTGGAAATGTTACAGCAGTATATCTGAAGAAAGTCTACTAAGTGAGCACTGTAAAGAAGTGTTATTCACTTACGATGTAACAGTGCTTGCTGGGTTCCAGAACGCATTATCAGTAATTTTTCAGTAGGATATAACTAAAATACCTATTGCAAATCCTACACACTCAGTACAGTTAGTTTGTACACTGTATAACAAGCTATTAGTACTCCTACCTAATCTGACTACAGAAATTCCCATCTGAGGTCTAGTGATTAGAACTAGCACTTATAGCATAATAATAAAGGATATAATCTTACAATTATAGTAGTAACATATGTCTTGTGTAACACTATAAACAATACTATTAGCAAGTTTAGTATCATTAGAGATGGTCTGAAAGTTTGGCTTCACATAATTGGACCCTTCTAGAGAAGAAGCTAAAAGTTCGAAAATTTGAATACTTGTGAGGTTTTTCCAGATTGTAGACAGCTTACACGTGTGATATAGTTGTAATAACACCCTGTAATTAGACAAGTATTGGAATGTGTACTAAAGATATTAAACAGTCTACTTACAGTGAATGTCATTGTTAGCTATAATACTTATGTTAACAATTGTTTTAGGAATATTTTTTTGATTACACACTCGCAAAGACCTGTCATATCTACATCAAAAATACAGAACAAATTGTAAAATAGATGATAACATACCAAACACCAGATAATAATCGTTCAGGGGTGAAATAGTTTGAAACCATAAAAAAGTAGCTGTACTGAATTGTAAAATTAAAAGTTCTGGGAAAGAGACCAAATAACTCACCAGGTGTGCATGCACAAGATACTATGCACTGTCTCTAACACCCTTCATATTAAAGATCGGTGCATGATCAAAAGTAAAAAATGATGCAAGGACATACCACATTGCACCAACCTGTTACTGAGTAAGCTTTGAATTTATCTGGTTGAGATTTAGTACTTACTGTCAGTTTGAGTAGTCTACTATCCGATGGATACATTCTGTAGTAGCGGTATATCTGATGACTGACCAGTCCAAACAACCTTGAGATTCAATGATGAGCTGTGGTCAACAACTTTTGTCACAGCTAGAATGAGTACAACATACACAATTGCAATGTATGTGCCAAGCAGTAGAGCACCCAGAGTGTTGTCGCTCGAAGCAGCCTCTGTATCCTGACCGGACCTCCTTGAGACCCATGAGATGGAATTACTGACCATGGCCTATTCCTTTAGAGGGAACAAATGGGTAGAAACGAAGGGAGGGCACGTCAGATCTCTGCACAAAAGAAAATAACGAAAGTGAGTGTATTACTAAGAATATTCAGATGTTTCGACTCTTAGAAGCGGCAGATACAACACATCAGTGTGTATTGTATTGCCGGCCTATGTCTTACTCCGAGCCAATGCATCTATGTATCATAATCATGATGTAAGAAGCACAGTTCGGATCAATGTGAGAAAATTAAACAAACTTACAGCACTTAACCTCCATCTAGTTTGCATATTTAGGGTGTCAGGGGAAACTGCCTACCCACTCCTGAATGAGAGATAAGCACATCCCTGTCCTTGTATATAGTTAGCCAGCAAGCTACAAGAGCGGGACATGAGTGAGTTTAAAATAGCTTTCTAATTTGAACTGAACTTTCGGCATTCAACTGCCTGTAATCACAACTTGAGCCTGGATTTGAGACCCGAGTCTGTATATCATGCTAGTACAATCGGCTCGTTACGAAAGAAGCAACACTGCCAGTATTAACAGCACATGAGATAGTACTGCTAGGCTGTTGATGAACGTGAACGGCGCAGTAACAAACTAATCTAAACTCTATTATGACCGGTGGTATGAACAGACCGACTGGATACAATTTGATAATAGGATATGGTGTATGAATTGAGATGTGCATCAGACTAGAAGAATGCAGCACTACACGTGATTATTGTGTTTCAGATTGAACAACTGCAAATTTCTATATGCTACCTAACAGCCATGTAGTATAAATTGCCACCAGAGAAATTTAACAATCTGATGTAAATGATCTTAGTTTCACAATGATCACACACTTGTTCTCACAATCATATTCCTTCTTAATACACTGCTTCAAATTGACACAGTAGTACTAGAGTCTGGAACTAAAATCCTTCTGAGTTTTTCCGGAAATGTCTAGCTGCCTAAGGAATTTAAAAATTTCACTCGCTAGCAGTTTCATTACTTGTCAGTACTTTATTCGTTAGATTCCACTATAAAATACTTACCAACTGTTTTCGGAGCTTCTTGAATTGTCTAGTTAAGGTTTCTCCTGTAAGCACACAACTGAAGAATAAAAAAATATTTCTACACACTGCGTGGCCAGCATCCACGTCAAATGACGATGCCTGAGGAGGTTGTACTCTTGTCTGTGCCCTAGAGTGTTCAGACCTTGAAAAGACATGAGCTTGATATATATTATAACAACTTATATGTCTTACATTATCCACGAGTGATTTGCATAAATGAAATGTACATGTATCGGCAAGGAAGGCAGGCAGAACCAAACTGCTTCAAACATATAACGGTTCAGCACGAGTTGCTACAGGAACAGGCGTATTAACAATTGTATAAGACAAAATATACATGAATGACTGACTGCTTCAGTTGAACGTTTTGTCTTCAGAGAGACCTGCCCTCTACTGTTCACAAATGTTCCAAATTTCATGTATGAGTCTACTACTTGAGAATCCCACCCAGAATATGCAGGATTCTTCTTCATGTATCTTAGTAAGTCTTCTCTACAGAGACGTAATCAGATTATCATAAATATTTTCACTTCTGCACTAACCTTGACGAGAATTCCTCTGGTTGTCGAGCAGTGCCTGCACTAACCATTGCATATGCTTTCGGTATATTCTTCTCTGGATTCACAAGAAATGGTTCAATAACTATTAGTGACTTAAGTGCCTTCGGCATTTGTAAGCCTGCATGTACGCTTTGAAAAGCGAGTGAGTGACACAAAGTACTAGTAAAAAAACAGGCTCACAATGAGCTGCCTCCAATGGAATGTCCGATACCAACAACGTTAGGCCTATCTGATATTCCATGCCTTGGAAGATGGGTAGGAAGGATAACTGATGGGTCCCATGCCTTGGGCATCCTTCTTCGGAGAAATTCGACCAGGTCTACAGGGTAGTTCATTGGATCCACTGAAAATAATATTATAATTCTGCTTATCCAATGAAAACAATTGTACATCACCTTCTAATAGGCCATTGCCATTAAGTAGTGCAGAATCGCCATGATGGACAGGCTCAAAGGACCAGATTTCTGAAATTAGCCTGCTGGTATTTGATTGCTTGTCCAGAAGAAGAAGGTGGGCCAACAGTGGCTCCCATATCTAAACTATTGTCAAGAATGCGCCTACCCACCAAGAATGTCTGTAACTTACTTCCTTATGCGATCCGAGAGAATGTGCAAGGACAAGCGTTATCCCGCCTTCAACAGGGGTACGGAGACCTTCAGCCCTTGGAACATAGCGATTCACAACAGCCACAAGAGCTGTGGGGACAACATTAACTGTGCCATCCTCCTCTTTGCTGTTAGCATCATTTTTGTTGCTTCGCCGTGCGTATGATGCAAAATAATGCTGAGTAACTCGCCAATATCCTTCATCATTTCTTGGGGACGGGTTCCAGCTCGGAATCAGGCCTAACTCGTCTTCGACACAGTGCATGTGGGGCTAGTAAGGGAACAACTTTGGGTCGAAATCGCGGATAGTAGCTGAAGATCACGGATAATTGGCAAGTGCCGCCGCAAGTCACCGAGACTAATAACCCAGAGTGTAGTATTATGCCGACTTCCACCTATAGTACGTGTATAGAAAGAAGGACAGACATACAATCGTGCAACCAATAATAAGAAGGTTGATGTATAGTTCCATTAATAATATCAAATAGAAGTGTTTGGGGGCTGCCAAGGTAAGAATAGTATGACCGGCCTTTCACATTTGCCGACCACACTTTATCAAATTTTCAACACATAAGTGTATTGCACATCTCCACCACATGCTTGTCAATATGAGGGGGAAATACATGTATATAAAATAAAGTATTTCTCTGTGCTTATGTTCTACAAACGTAAACTGTAGATACTATGTTTATATTTAATATCTGTGTATTTTGGTATCAGCAACATGAAAGGTCGTACTACAAGGCAAAAACTAAAATGGTGACGGAGTTGCGGCAGCCCCGGACAACACGTAAGTTCATTAGAAGCCATACATGTGGAGCAAGCGGGGTGATTGCTTCGGCTCGTGTATACAAACAATGGAAAAGGAAGTACCCACTCAGTTGTCATTCTTACTGTCACAGCTGTACAGAATAGTGTTGATCAATATGAGGACACTGACTTCTGTTGCAACGATGATCAATACTAATCCTTAAGTCCATCTAGTGTCTCTGATGGAGATGGAAATGTTTTCTTTGATCCTATTGAGAGTAATACCTTCTGGTGTTATCCGCCTTACAAACATTTCACCGGGCTTAAAGGCGCCAGTTAATAAATCGTATCTGTGTGAAAAGTTCGTGCCGCCTTATATGCTAAACTTGGCTTCATCGGCTTAACCTCTCTTCACTCTCACGCAACTCACTCAGTCTCGCCCCAATTGTATGCCACAGCCCTCCCTCGCCCTTACTCTCGCCCTTACCCTCACCTTCCTTTCAGTTTTTGTCATTCCTCCCTCTTTTTACACCAATCCTTGCAAACAACTCACAGGATGGTTCAAACTCCTGACATCGTTACCTTTTCCAAAAATGATCCAGATGATAGTAAGAATTGGTCAGTTCGCAGGAAACGGCTAGTTGTCCTCCTCATATGCATCTTAGCATTTGCTGCGTATGTTCTCGTTTCGAAAAGAGAGACCAACAACTTAACATTTGTTCAGAGTTTTCGGATCCTCCTTCTATGTGAATGATGCTCTAGTCATGTATTCCTACCAATTGTTCACTTGTATTTTAGGCAGCAGCAGAATTACAGATCATAGCACGCTACAGTGTCAATGCAGATACTGCTAGCTCAGGTCTGACAGTGTATGTATTAGGATTCTCGTTAGGGCCACTGTTTTGTGAGTTGGAACATCAAATATGTGCCGGATATAAGAACTGACCCAAATGTTGAAATAGGGGGTACATATCTATTGCTTGTTAAAGCTCTTGGTTGCTAACACAGTTGTTGCATAGGCCCTCTCAGTGAAATGTATGGAAGAACATTGCCATACCGCTTGTCATGGCCAATGCTAGTTGGTATGCAACCATATATTATTTCCATCTAAGTTTATTACTGATTCCTTCTCTACATAGTGACTTGTGCTATGAGTGCCTGGATTGACAACATTGTTGTCATAATAGTCTGTGAGTAACAAGGTAGATTGTAGAGTTCTATATTCTCTGACTGTTATTGCTTGAAAAAGTCCGCTTTTTGGCTGGATGTGCTGCTGCCTGTGCTCTTAACAAGTCAGTTCTGATTTGATTCAACAAAATAAAAAATACACTAATTGTTTAATGTATTCTGTCAGTGGTGGTGGTATTATGTCTGAGTAAGTTGGTTCCCTCTCTGAAAGAAATGTACTATAAGTGTTACTTTCTTAGTATGTACAACATTGTTGACATGCAAGGTCAAGCAAGAGGTAAGCCATTCACTCTTAGTTGCTTATATGAGAAATGCTTAACAGTTGACGTTCAAAGCTATTGCACTCTAGTATGCTTTTTGCATGTGCAAAATCATTATAAATCTAATTACTGTATAGTGCTGCTGCTATATCTGCCGGGCCCTGCATTGCACTTCCGATTGGTTTCTTTGTATCAGCAAATGCACCATCTGAGTATGTAAAAGCAATCCAACCTGCATTCTTTGTTAATTATCATCCTTAGGTTGTGGGTACTCCGTGTCTACTTTTTCTTTGTCCTGTCCCTTCTCCCAGTAGTGTGGCTACTACCAGAAACGCACGGACCTACTGTACTAGCATGGAGATCTAAGAAACTTCGCAAGGAGGGGATGCTGAATGCTTGTGCAGCACATGAGCTGAAGCACGAGTCAAAGAAACAAGTCTTTATAACTAATATTGGCCGTCCAGCAGGTAAATACTTTCTCGAGTGCTATGAACTTAATTCTTCTAACAACTGGTGGTTGAAGCAATGTTTCTTCGTGAGCCAATCGTCCAGGGTGCAGCAATATGGACCTCCTTGGCATATGGTATAGTTTAGTAAGTATTCATTACTATTGATTTCTTGTCCACACATCTTACCTTCCCTTCATATAGCTTCTTCTTCGAGGCATATCCTGTTGTGTTTTTTGAACACGTAAGATATCTCCTTGCAAGGTCTGCCATGGCAGAAATAGACTGTATACTTATTGAATCTGTAGCACAACTTCCCTTTACAACTAACTGGTCTTCCTTTCCTTGCTATGGTTGTTGGTTTTCAGCTTGCTGCACTGCCGTACCGCTATCTTGTACGCATATTTTCAAACATTCGCGTCCCCAGCTTTATCCAGCCAGGAAATCAATCGCCAGACAGTCCTGAGTCAGCTCTAAAGTTGGCAGTCTTTGGATGGTATGTATTAACTTTATTGTATCTATAATATCTTAACAAGATGGATTGTTATAGTTCACTCATGCCTATAGCCATGTTCTGGTTTGCTTGGTAGCATATTTTTGCCCACCTGATTCGGATATTCAAGTTCTCATATGTTTATATAGGTCAAGTGGTAGTGAAACACATTGGATTGTACCAACTTTAGCTGGCACTCTTTATGCATTCTCTACACTCATTATTTTCTATACATTCCTAACCTAGTAAGTTCTTTCATTTTATTGTTTAACTCACTGATAGCTTCTGTTACTAGTTCATCACAAACATATACAATTTATGCATCTAGTGCAAGTGCTTGCAACACATTCTGGAGATCCTTAATTGGCTCCATATTTCCTGTAGCATCTCATTCAATCATCTCACGCCTCGGAACAAAGTGGGGAGGTATGTACCCAGTTTATAAATGTTACATTTGCAAATCATCACTTATACTAACTTTATTCTTAATGTAAAGTATCATTGTTTGGATTTCTCTCTCTTGGCCTCTTGCCTATCCCAATCATTTTCCTACGCTATGGTGAAATCTTTCGCAAGAATTCACATTATGGCCATGAGGCCAATACAATTGTTGCCAAAATGCGAGCTGTAGCAGCACAGGCTAAAAGGGATACACAGTTGGCAACCTCAAACGCATCTGTGTCATCTCAGAGAAAGTCTACGGATGCAATCATAGAATTGACCGAGCACCGTGCTGCTGTTTAAATAGTTACATGGTTCTCAGTTACTAGCTGATAGCTGAAAATTTTTGCTGTAGTGCTAGATACTTATATATATATTAATTTAAGGTATAACACAGAGAAGTAGTAAGTTCTATCTGTCAAAAGATGTTGTCTGTAACAGCACTTCTGCTATGAGTTCGGGATAGTCACATCTGATCACAAACAACCTGCAGTTTAGCTACAAGACAAGATATTCATGATTGCATAGCTTAGGTTAGGAATTGGCACTGTAATCTTTTTTCTGATCCTAGGCAACACCAACAATCAAGCTGGCACTTGCATCACTGTTACCCATGTAGGACTACTGAATTGGTGCTTTAGCGTTCGGCAATAAGTATGCCTGTCTGATAGGTCGATCACAACTTGATTTGAAACATAATTAGAGGCGAAAATGAGGACCAAGTTGAAATCAGACAATGAACTGCGCTTTTCAAATAATTTCAGTCAAGGCATTCTGGCAACAGAAGCGTCAGATGCTAATGCTTCTGAATTAGAAACTTAATGATGCCTACCTTGCCTCTACATAGACCAAGTCAACGATGTCGACAAGGCGGGTAAGAAATGGTATGCGAACCGAAACATGTGGTCTGGACGTTCAATAACTAGTGCACACCAAATTGGACATCTTCTCATCGAGGTAAGTTGTGATCGCAGATAAATGGTTGTCGGTTTAATGCTGTTAATACCTCGGACGGCAGCTCGGAGGAACTGCAGATTGTCATCATGAATTCTGAGTGCCAAATGCACCACAATCATCTTAGCACAAAAGTTCCACTTCAACTATTGGTTGATTCATTGCTTCTATTAGTTCCTTGGACTGAAAGAACTTGAACCTAGCAGCCTGGCGGTTATTGGTAAAGTAGAGCAGCTTATCATTTACTCCCACAGAGCTCTGTCATGCTAAACCTAAACGAAGTCTAAAATCTTGCAAATGTGCCGAAGTACACGTTTCAAATAATCGATACTTCATTCAGGATGTGGTCAAGTTGCTATGCCCAACAGTAAATTCTGATAACTCATGAAGATGTGAAAATAATTTCTTCGTCTCTTCCGTCGGATTCTTTGCCACCTCTTGGTGAGCCTGTACTAGTAACATTAGTTCGGGCTTTTTCGAATACATTGGCATCACTTTCCTCAAGAGATTCCCACCCAACAAGCATTACAAGTCGATTCTCCCTCTCTGGATTAAACCCCCAAGTTGACAGCGTCACAGTCTTCGTATCCTGGTTCGCAAGAGTGTCAAGGTAAGGTGCGATCTCGTCCTTTGTCCTTCCTTCTCTAAGCGTGAAGTAGACGACTTCACAGACTGGAGCGGTTAATGCTGCGGTCGGATCAACAGGAAATTGGATACGGTCTACTTCGATTTTATCCCTAAGTGATGAGTCGAGCTCTGAACGTGAAGTCAAGGTTTGAGACCCGTGCGCTCCGAAGACTTGTTCCCAAATCAAATCAGACTAATCAGGCCGCGTCTCTTGAAGCATGATGGATTCAAACACCGCACCGGAAATTGCGTATCCGCGAGTAGGGTCCTCAATTTGGACGCCATGATAGGATCTTGTAGCGATAACATTTTATGATGGTGTTTCGACATCAGCTTTTACACCGCCAATGATAGCAATAAAACGCAGCAATTGCTTACCTTGCATCTGTGCTATTGACAGTACCAGATAAGGAACACTGATTCGCATGATAGTCATCCGGAGCCGAAAACAAGACAATTTCTACCAAGTGAGCCGGCATCGCAGTAAAAGGCCTGTGATATCTACAAGATGCAGCACTGCTTTTATATAGCGCGGAACTCTGTGCCACCACGCCTTAAGCTTCTGCTGTATTAGATTGCACCCCAAAGATAAACAAGCGACACAGCGCTTCGAGAATCTGAAGCATATACGGTTGGTGGAGAGAGTTATGATGTGCTGCCGCCAATGAACCTAGATTGGAGGAGAAACCGTTGGAAGACGTATGTTCTTTAACTTCTGATGTATGCCTTAATCGGGATGCGCGACGTGTAATGAGAACGAGATCTCGAGGAATAAAGTTTCTTATTATACACCTTACCAATCCTTCGCCTACCACCTACCACTCCTCACACCATGTCCGATAAGCCCACATACATTTACAAGCTCGTTCCATACACTGCACCCGTTCCCGACGAGCTCCCAGAGCGACTCCCGGTCAGCGATATCGACCAGAATTCGGGCTTCATCCACTTGTCTACTGCACCACAAGTCCCGAACACACTCAAGTTTTTTTTTGGCAACGATCCAAAGGTCTACATTCTCCGCCTCAGTTACGAGCCATTGGAGAAAAATATCCGCTGGGAGGATCCAAAAGCGGAGGTGTGTGGCCCACGGGGCGGTGAGGGCATGTTTCCCGTAAGTGATCGCATGTGAATCAGTTTATTGCTGGTTAATGACCTGGCCTGTAGCATCTGTACAATGGATTGAAACTCGGAAAAGACGAGATCGAGAGTGTGCAGACATGGGAGAAGGGAGACGGAGGATGGGACGAAGCGTTGAAGAAAGCAGAGTCCTGGCTTGTTTACTGATTACTAAGCACAACGGACATGTATTCATGTTATCATTAACCCAGTCCACTACAATCGGCCACTATGTCAATGTAACTTTTGAGAGCCTCGGCATAAATAACTAGTCAAGCAATATAATCATAACAGTGTAGACACAAGAAATGTAATTAAATTTACACAAAGGCATAAATATCTCTTGCAATTACGAACCGCATAAAACAACTTAGAGTTAGATGCATATGACCGATTACACCTGAGCCAGTGCCTGGTCTGACGCTTCAGCCGAGGACAGTTGTTTCTCATCCAGATTTTTCTTCTCTGCCACAGTAGCTATCGCATCAGAAGATTCTGACGATGAGTGCATGTTGGGGAGGGTAGCATGGTGAACGGAGTGTGAAGCAAACGCTAATGTGGTTGGTTCTGAGGTCCTGGTGGTGATGCGGTCCGAGTAAGCACGATTATGCGCTACTCGTAAAATAATGAAGAGTTGCGCGATGCCCTACGGAGAAGCGATAAGTATCTTGGAAACGAACCATTGACGACGACGGTACCTGGACGTGGCTTATAGATAAGAAAACAAGATTTGACACATTCGAATGGACGGAGAAGGCTACAATATAAATAACTCCTAACGCCGAATACATGGCTGCGGATTCAACTACCATCGCCGCTATAGACACGTACGTTTCGGCGTGTTCGGCTCCAAGTGTCTCGCGTACTTGGTTGCGAACCGCGACGAGGCGGGCGACGACAAGGATGGTATATATAATGTTCGTGCCTACAGCTATGCAGAGGTATGCAAGCTGAACTTTGATGTTATAGAACACGGCGCCTATGGATTCGGTCAAGACAAGGATAGACATGGCTGTTGAACTTAGTAAAATGACTGCGACCTCTATTGATAACAATCCACCTACCAACGGAGGCAAGGAATAGCGCACTCATCGGAAGAACAATGTACGGCTTCCATCTCCAGATTACAAAGCATCTGTATAACTGCATCCAGTTAAATATTAAGAATCTATATTGGATGAGAAATAACTGACCAAGAGAATTTCCATGACCCATTCCATAATATAGTAGCTAGTAATTTTCAATAATATCAACACGCTATACAGGCACGGTCCTGCATGAGCCTCTTACCTTGCGAGCGCCATCCTATTGATCCAATAGTCCAGTTCGAGATCAATCAAAGCATCAGGTCCTCCGGGAGCATTGCGTAGATCGACCCATATCATTTGTGTATACTTCACATTTCCGGCAAATCCAATGGTAGCAAGTACGAATGTAATTGCAACATAAGACAGCAACGCAATCTTCTTCTTCTTATCATCGTTACCCCTGGACTTGTGGAGGATAGCGCTGGTCGCTTGAATAGTAAGTAAAGCGTAGAAGCCTACGAATGGAATGTATAGATAAAGTGAATTTGCGTTTAGATCAAATAATGAAATATTTGTAAATGCGATGCGCACCATACGAGACAGCTCCGAGAATCATTCCATCCAACCTCGACCTTTCCAACCATAAGTCAGTAGCAGGCTGAGCACTAGACATCCTGTCGTAGCAATTGTTCGGACCCAGCACTTATGGGATGATTCTGGCATGTAACAGCCGAGGACTGTTTATGTACAAGAGTTTGACACTTCCACGCCTTCTCTGGCGTTCTGTTAAATCGTGCAAGCCAGTATATGGGACATCTATCAACATCTCTACAAGATGTTGATGTTCTCGCCATGTTTCAAGCAGAGATAGCAATCATAGCATGCGTGAAAATACGTTATTGGTAGAATATCAAATGAATCAAGTCGACTAGAATGCTGTACTCTTCGACCGCCGAAGGTACAAACCTAGAGAAGGATGCATGTTTCCTTCCTTCCGCTTCCGATAGCTGGGCGTCCCTGACAGTCGACTCGAAGCGAGCCTTAATTGGGTGACGAATGGACACGCTGCAAGGCGTAGACGCTTCGCGTTGCATCACACCTAAGCGAATTGACTGGGACGGAATGAACGGGGTGCGCGGTTAGACGCGGCATGACGTCTTTTGTACGTGTAACTATAAGGAGAGTTTGGAACTCTTCAAATCCGCGGATCTGCGGATCTGCTATTAGTATTTCAACATCACTGTACGGATGAACCTAGGAGAAAGGGATTCCTCAATTAACCGTTCAATTGAAGGAAGGGAGGAAAGTCGCATTCCGCCATCTGCAACTGCAACAGAGAAACCATGTTCCATTTTTGTCAGCGTCAGGTGGTTGCCCAGCTAAATTTACGACCGTCAGGATTTTGCTATTGTCAAAGCACCAAGCTTCCATGCCATGTAAACTGTCCAGCGGAGCCATAAGCCTCTTACCAAACTTCGGCAGCGTAATGGCAGCTATTTGACCAAGCTTTAGTTACAAAGATTCTATCAAAACTCTAGCCGAACAATGCCTGTAAAGAAAGTGAACCCGGACGACTTGAATACCTACACAGAAGTGAGAATTTGCGGAATGCATTATTATCATTACAACCCTGGACAGCTTATTTGGACGACTATTTATAACTTGATAAATGACTTTAGAGAGATTATTATATTCGGCTCCGAGTCTGCTCCTGAAAGACCACTGGCGAGAAGTTCTACATTCGTCATACTTCTTGTGTTGTTGATGTTGCCTGCTCATCTGATGAAACTGGCAGTGCCTGGAGACCAGTGAGGGCAGTTGGATATAAGGACCGTGAAGCAAAAGCAATGGATGTCGGTCTCGAAGGATTACTGGCGATGCTGCTTGGAAAGGCGCGATTACGAGCAACACGCAAAATTATTAGAAGTTGTGCGATTCCCTTGAATATTCAGTCGTGAGAGACCAAAACGACACTACCTCACTGTAAGACTCACCTGCACATGACTGATAGACAGAAATACGAGATTCGACACATCGGAATGTGCGGAGAAGGCCACAATGTATATCACGCCCACCGTGGAATACATTGCTGCGGATTCAACGAACATCGCTGCGAGTGAAACGTACAGCCTAGCATGATCTGCTCCAATTACATCTCGCACGTTGTTCCGAATGTAGATGAGGCGGCCTACGACAAGAATCGTATAGATGATGTTCATTCCTACCGCTATGCAGAGGTAGGCGAGTTGCACGGAAATATTATAAAATACGGCTCCTTCGGATTCGGTCAAAACAAGGATGGCCATTGCTAACACGTAGACTTGGAGTCAATAAGTATATCCCCTAATAGGTTATATTCTGCTAACCGACGGATGCCAGGAAGAGCGTAGTCATTAATAACAATATGTACACGTTCCAGCCCCAGATCACGAAGCAACGATGCAACTGGCACAAGATTTAGTCGTGCTATTGCGTGAGGGGAAGGGGGAGGGGGAGGGAGAGGGGGAGGGAGAGGGGGAGGGAGAGGGGGGGTAGAATTCTGACCAAGAGTATTTCCATGAACCATTCCATGACATAGTAGCTGTTAAAAGATGGATGTCTCAGAGTGACTTCAAGTAAATTCAAATCGTGGAAATTACCTGGCGAGTGCCATTCTGTTAATCCAATAGTCCATCTCAAGATTAATCAACGATGTCGTTCCTCCAGGAGAATCGCGTAAATCAATCCATATCATCTCCGTGTACTTCACGTTCCCAGAGAAGCCGATAGTTGCGAGGACGAATGTAACCGCGATATAAAAAAGAAAAACCTTCCTCATGTGAGTGTTTTCAGCATAGCGTTTATTTCGGAGGAGTGCACTGCTTGTTTGAATGGTTAGAATGGCGTAGCATCCTAGCGGTGTAAAAGCAAGCACATAAATAATTGGAGGATGCAATGGTTCAGATATTCTCACCGTACGAAACAGCCCCAAGAATCATTCCAGCTAACCTTGTTCTTTCCAGCCGCACATCCTTGGTCGGCTCGGCTTGGGACATTGTGTGAAAGGACCAGTTTATTCGTGCGGTACAGTCTCCATGGTTCGAGCTCTACACTGCTTTTATAGCGGTGGACTTGTGTCTTCGCACAAATGGAACTGCTAGGATAATTATACATTAATTGCGAACTAGTCTGGACAAAGACGATACACACCGACAGCAGTAGCAGTGAGAAGGCAAGGAGCTTCCATAGAGAAACATAAACTACCAGTTAGACGTTGAGACCATCGGACGTGTTTGGCTATCGAAGCTTATCCAGCCCGAGAATGACGGCATTCTCTGGTTTTTCTTTATTAACAGGATGGAGTTAGTCGCATTTGTGGCAAGATCGTCGTACAATCCGAAGGCAACAAACGCGTATTTTCTGCCGGCAAGTTCAGTACCGCTTGCTAGGAAGAACGTAACTCATCCGTCGAAAGCCTGGTATTCGACCGATAAAACAAGGCATAACTTAAATATAGCTGTTGGCACATTTCGGTTCCCACGAATAAAAGTTCTCACAGATGCTTCCGAAATCCTCCGCACTGTTTCAGGTTCTTCACCCAGGTCCCGCAGAGACTACTTTGTTCGAACTTTCTTGTAACGTGCTCATTATCAATGAATGAACTGCGGGGAAAGGCTGAAAATAATCTCATTTATATCACGAACGATCTAGCCATAATCTGTATCAGTGTAAGAAGATGCCATCGCCAATCCTCATTCCATTCACATGTGATGAATATTCGTTATATGACTCTTTCGATTGAGCCGTAGATATAGAATAGAGCTCTGTGCATCTTCCCGGAAATATCGGAAAAGCAACATTTGCTGCCATAGTTTCATCTAAAACCCTATTTATTGTTCGCGTTCATTTTCTATCCGACTGCATGACCTACCTTGTATTAATACATCACTATCCATGCATTGCGCAGCAACTGCGACGGAGCGCATGTTCCCTTTACCCATCCTTTCCAAATATTTGTGTGCGATAGTCATTGGCCCAGCTTAAACTCCATGGATGACACGGAATACTCAGGGAAGAGGGGTTAAATCATAGTAATTATGGTTTCGATCTTGAAACTTATTACATTTTGATGTATGCTATATACTGGACACATTTGATAGTGTAAATCCGTAGTCTTGCGCAGTCAGTTAGCCACTTCAAATCCATAAAGGTCTTGTGAGTGTAGACATGTCATCCTTCTGATGAAATCGCACAGAAATCGCATGAGTTCGTATTCCAATTGGGTTGAAGTTAGTAGCAAACTTACCTATCATCTATCAAATTACTTTTGTCCAACACCGTTATTTCCACTTTGCATCGTACCGAAAGACGAATCCTTCTGGGAGACAGTATCAGTCCATGAAGTTTCTTCAACCTGTGTAGGATAAAGTATACTCACGCTATTGACCGCTGAGTTGGCTCTTTCGACTACGTCCCGACCAGTGCTGTTTAAGTTAATACTTACAAGCCCTGAGTTGGATGCAAGATCATTACGATGTCTCGAACGAGAGTTCAACCTAAGCATTGAAACTGAGCACATTTGGATGGAAACGATAGAAATATCGACAAACGAGGCAAGCAAGCAGTTTAGGTAGACTAGAACTATGTCAACCGCAACCTGGAAGAGCTAAAAAATGAAGCACTTGCGCGTTGGGAATACAAGGTCCACAAGAAGGTATACAAAGCCGTTAGGGACCAGATACGTGCCAATCAGGCCTATAACGCCCCAAATACACGTGACCAATCCTGTTGTTATAGTGTAGATTATGAGTTGGTTCATGATCGAGTCTGTTTTTTGAACGCCGGAACGGAGGCGAAACAGGAGAATTGAAAGCGCTAGAGCTATTGCCGCATCTGAAACGATCAGCAGGATTAGACCTGAACGCTCAGTTGCCAGGAAGTGCAACAGTTGTAAACTGTCAGAGATATGGTAAATTTGGCCGAAGTAGGTAACGGTGATAGCGAATTGACTGAGAACAGGCATAGATAGTAACCCTGCCAAGGCATGGTTTTTCCCGCTCACTTCGAGACAAAATGAAGCAAATAAAACCTTTCAAGGATGGATAGTAACTTACAGTACCATAAACGCATGAGAAAGCTAGCTTGCACCAGAACAACGACAAAGGAACCGATAATATCGCAGTCCACAATGTGGCTAGATACTTCCTTTAATATTTGATAAGGCGTAATCAGAAGATGAAAACTCACCGCTGTGGATGATACAGAGCCGCGAGATTCCCAAAGTTTTTGACCAAACATACGTACAAAGACTGTAGGAAGATTGCTTGGAAGACAATGACCAATGTAAATACCAGGAATACGTATGACTTGATCGCCCGACCATCGAACTTCGAGCTATTCTGATAATTATGCTCGAATGAGAGGCGGAGGTGCCTTCAATCCAGGATATACGTACTTCATAATATAAGTAAAGCTGGATAAACGCCATGCCCCACAGCCTATTAGTACAAGTTCAGCGTCGAAAACGATACGCAAGACAGAGGCAAGTACACTGCAGAAAAGCTGCAGTATTGTCAGCGTACAACAACCCGCGTTTCAAGTCGATTAGACTCACATGCCTGCAAGGAAAAGGCAACCTAGCTTTCAAAAGACAAATAAGTGTCTTAACCATGCGACTAGTTTTATTTAGTCTAGTCTTACTGTACTGTCCAGTGCTATTGGAGAGTCGGTAGCCATTTATGATAGGTAGCAGTGGGAATGAGAGAAGTGGAATGTGTGATGTGTGAGGTCTTCCTTCGTTTGAAACGAACCGACCTTTATCCAGTTAACTTGTGTTCTATTTGACTTGATACCAATGGCGAATGTCGAATCCGATCATCACATTGAGATCCCACCGATTGCACCGCTCTTAAGTGAGAATCCATCGAGTTCCATATCCTTTGTAATGGAAACACAAAAAGGCCTCGAACGCGGGAAATACTTCAGTTGCGTGAATCAGACGAGCCTGTAGCGCAGTTCGTCAGGGAAGTGAGCTTCCTTGAGCACTTGATTGATACTACCTGCACGAAACACGACATCAACTAGCTTCACGGACAATTGGTACGTAGTGTATTGAACTTGAAAACGTCAGCGAACATTACGCTGTTTAAACTATCGCGAGAAGATTAATCAGGAAGATCCCATGAAAATACCTTCCCACCCTCTTCTCCGTGATAAAGAGATTCTCTGAGAAAAGCCCGTATATCAGACTGAATAAATACTCAAGCCTATTTCATCCGCACTTACCCAATGAACTGAAGCGCTGTGACCATCGGCGTTCTGTCGTCGTATCCTTCTCGACAACGCAGTTTCTTGAGAGTATAGAACTTCCATTGTGCCCTCTCTCCAGCGGGAGTGTCAGACGCGGTCCAAGTACGAAGTACGATCGCACCCGAGCTCATCCCCGTTGCTAACATACCGAGTCGCGCATACTCACGTTCATGAAAGGCTAATGAGGTTATTCTGCCGTCGGTAGGGCTAGAATGTGTGAGGTCAAGCTCGGCAATTTGGTGTGCATTGATCGTGTGCAAACACAGCTTCCTGTCGGAACACGTTGCAATGTTGCCCTTGTAATATATAACTATCAGAGCCCACAGTCATCCTGGAACAAAAGTATCTTACCGTCGACTCATTTATAGCAACAAGGTGAACTTTGGATCTCTCGCTGACGTCATCTCCGATGATCTTATGATCAATAGAATGGGAATATATGGCCCTGTTAAGGTCCCAGATTATAGCAGTACCATCCCCAGAACCGCTGACGACCAACGACCAGGCCTTGCATGCGGCAATGCATAGAATGGCTGCCGTATGGCAACGTAGCATCTGTACCTTTGAGAATGAAGCTTTGCCATCCTTCCGTTTTAGGTCCCAGAAGCGAACCATGAAGTCGGCCGAACCGGTAACAAACCGGTCTGAGTCCACAAAAGCCACGCAAATGCATGAAATTGTTTCGACAACCTGCGTCACCTAAAGTACTAGTGATTGGACTCTAATGTCATTACTATCAACAGCTGCACACATACCCTTCCATCAATGAGTAGCTTGATACTTTGGTCTACGTAGCCCCACGCAATTTGTTCATGAGGATAGGAGGGCACACAAAGCAATTTCGCTGGGCAAGGAATTACGCGCTCTGATACCATGTCAATTGCAAGAGAAGCCACAGGTTCGGATATCTCTATCCATCCGATGAGTCATTAGTAACTAACTGTTCGATGCTCTTTGCATACCTGCGACTGGGCGAGGTGACTGAACAAGAAGGTGGAAGTCTTCGACAGCACCATATTGAGTCCCTAAGGGTAACGTAGTCGGTCCTTGCAAAATGCGAGACGGATGTGGAGCGTCGAATAGCTTTCGTGGGGTCTGCCCAACTTTAAGCAGATTTAGAATCGGACGCGTATTGAGGCTAATATGACATACAGTTATGAATTATGCCTACGGTCGCCTTACGCTCCAGCTCGTCCTTTATCTGGTCGAGATCTGAGTTTGAGCAAGTGTGAGGTACTCGTTTACTCCGGCGACAGCATGAAAGGCGGATGTACCTATGGATCCCTCGTAACTGAATGGATGGAAGACGTTGAGCGAGTTTACATCCCGTTGTTTATAACCCCATATCAAATCAATCCAGGACGGAAGATTCTCACTGACGAAATCCGATTCCAATGCCTGTAAGTGTTCTTTTATACACATACATCCAACAGCAAATTAAAAATGTAACAACCTTCCGATGTTCTATGACAAACAGTAACGGATCACCCTTCGCCCATGGTGGAAGCTTTACATCATGAATCTTCTCTCCAGTATTTTGCTGGACACCAAAATTGACATTTTCCAAGTTCTGCAAGAACCTAATTGCTATTAACAAATTAGTAATTCAAGAAAATGGCCTCAGACACACTCTGGACAAGTAAAGAACTCTGGGATTAGCTCCCTTACATCCCCTCGTAAGTCAAGCGAAGCTGAGTTGTAAGCGCGAGCAATGTCGCTATAGCGACATAAGTCAGTATCAGCTCCTATGTCGAGAGGTGGAAGACTCACGTAAATAAACGATCTGGAAGGTCCCAATCACCGCCCTTATTTCAAAAAAAAGGTCAGGACTAAACGTGCGTTTACATCGTGCCACTTACCTGTAGTGTCTTGAACATATGCGTAAAGGGCTCTAACCGGATAAGGAAGTGGCAAACGATCATGGATGAACTAAAGTGTGTCCCGTAATGAAAAGGTGCCTCTCCGACACTCTTCAGATTCTCGTATCGCTGTCGAGCGGCGTCACACCTTGCATCAGAAAGAGCTCCCATTGGTTTAGTCAGACTAGCAACTGAATAAGCATGTGGTCTTTGTTTTCAGATAATGGGAGTACTCACTCTCGGAAAGTGGAAGCGGATGTGAGATCGAGTGACGCAGAGGAATAATCTGCAAGTACCCATGCTACAAAGTAATTTCAGCAACAAAGCATATAAATCTTTGAACGCTACGTACGGAATACCGGATATTGCGTGGCATCACCCGGTGTCCTCCCAGACGTCTGATTGAGAATACTTAGGTACGTAAACTTCAGACGAAGCGGAACATTTAATAACAGTTTAACGAGTAGTAATAAACACCTACATTACTGATCTCACGTGCTTGCCACTTTCGCTGTGCAGTCGCTAGTTCGTCGCGGAGGTCCGTCATGACCCTTGTGGTTGCCCTTCCGAGCAACGGGGTGCGGTGCAAAACCAACGGTGATCGAGAAACAGACGTGCTACGAGCGACGACAGAATTTGCCAACTTGTCCGAGATTTCCTGGCGACGTTGTTTGTTCGGAAAGACTATCAAAAGAGACCGATTGTCCTTGAAGTAGAGCTCCAGTCTGAGGCAATTTAAGGGACCAAATCTCCAATCGTATAAGGACAACTCACGCAACGTCGCGGAACAGGCAGGTTTTTCGACTAAATGACGCTAGCAGATCGTAGGTCCTGGAATTTGAAGTAAGTAAAATTATGACCAACAACATTAACTCCCACCATTTTTGCGCGCTTTGTCCACCGTCGAGTTCGAGGACAGAGCCAGGGACAGAGAAGAGATTCCTTGGTGCGTGACATGCCTCAACAATCTCTCCGTCTTCATTCTCAACCAAGCCATCTAGCATGTACAAGTGAGTACGCCCAAGTATGAGTAGCCCCGCTGTATAGGAGTCTTATCAATAAACAGAAGGCCACTAAAACTTACTTCAACTTACGCGAAGAATCTACACCGACTATGCGCGTTACTGTACAAACGGCGTCAATGACATCACCACTTTCCAGCTCATGACGAACACGGCGAAGTTTATCGTCAGAAAATTCGTCAATCCACTCGTCTCCTGAGAACATTCAAAAGTTCATGTACGATTGCATTAGTGGATGTGGTTGCATACAATAGTTACGAGTTAAAGCATACCACCATGCGGTTGAAATTCGTAACCTTCGGCCCACGGAGGTACTACCAGTTCAACTTGAATGAAAGACTGCGCATCGCTTTCCGGTTCCGTGACCACACGCGTCTGATCACCAGACGTGCCGAAAGACAGGGTTTCGCGCTTTCGTTGCAGTTTTTTCCTAATACGGGTTTGACTTATTCTGATGCGAAGATAAGTTATAGTACGTACCTCACACGACAGGGCCCTTCTGTTTCGTCTAGAATCCAAGAGTGAAGCAGCCCCTCCATAGCCCAGAGACCTCTATCGTCATAAAGACCATCACGCCATTCACTGGTTTGTTCTACATGATGGCGATGTTCTCGACTGGGAACATGATCACCTTTGATTAGTATGTAAAATTCAAGTATTTAATAACGTACATGTCCATCGCAGTCCTCCGCAAGCGCTTTCTTTCGGTGAGTACTATGCTCTTCCGCCACTCGCGAATCTTAGTCGCAGTTTTAATATAAGCCCGTTCACTAAGCATGTGCACGCCAGCGTGTGTACGGCTAGCATCGCTTGATTGCTTGGCATGTCTTTCCGTTGTAACGCTTTCATTGGAAAGGTCCAAGTTCAGCAAAGTTTCGGCTTGCTGAAACACTGACAGCACCTAATTAAAGGAAGGACCATCCAGGTTAGAGCCAACACTACATCATAGGAAAGAATGAAAAGGACCTGTTGCTTTTGAGAGCTCGAAACAGCGTTGTCAAGTGCTAAAGCCACGGCAAAATGGTTTAGCTTTTCCAACACACGAATGTAAGTACGCCGGTTAGCTTCTACGACGGTAGCCTTCGATACAAAGACGGAGTATGTGCTTATGAGCAGGGCGGTGGTCTGCTGGGATTTGAATGCCTGTCGAAACGATGCTGAACTCGATTGCAAGTCTATCAGCTCCTCAAGCAGCGTTTCGACAAACGTCTCTGCATCTGTGAATGCATAAGTTAGCTTACGGCATAACAATGCAAATGCTCCTTACCAGTTGCTTCTTCGTCAAAGACATCTTGGGTGATAACAGAAAGACCATGGTCTAATGCAGCGAGAATAGCAGAGATCATCTGCGGGCAGACAATGGCGGTACCGCGTTGATCAGACTGCGCCTCGTTACTGTCCTTAACTTGGCCTAGTAAGACATCAAAAGCGGCACGTTGAACCTCGACGTTCCATACGGCTGGTAGAGTCACCCTTAGAACTGTCCAGCCACTTACGAGCTCGAATTTGCGGATGAATGAAGTAGACATCTTTAAGGCGAGGCTAATGATTGTCAAAATTTGCACGGCGACAGTCGGAGATGGTTTATCTCCCAAAAGTAGCAAACATATTCGTGGTAGAGGAAGTACAGACGAGAAGCTTGCCAAATTCCTCCCCATTGACAAGATCGAAACGAAAGCAACAAGCACCTGTTCCGCCTTATTGTATAAGCGAGTTCTGTCTAGTTGGGAAACAATCGACCGCGGAGACAGCTCTTGGGAGCCATCTATGGTTCCGAGATTCCTTAGAATCATTCATGATAGAACGAAATGGAAGTACCTTCGTGGAGATTAGCGGCCAGAAAAGACACTATTGGTTTGATTGTGTCCTCGGCTGAAAAACACGCCTGAGCTACGCACTTCAAGGCCGATACGAGGAAGGCATCCATTTCTGCAGAATACCAATTTGTGTGCAATACGAAAAGCAGTCGTCGCACCACGCCAAACTTAGCAATGCGTTGTTTCGCGTTAAATGAGCGATGCTTGCTTGTCCTTAATAACGTCGCAAAGTGTTCGAGATGCATCTGCTGAATTTCTGTTTTTGTGGACGCCCATAACCCAAAGTCGAGCGCTATTGCTCTATAAGCTATAGTGTTGACTACGGCAGAACGGCTGGTTTCGCACATTTAGGGTGGCTCAGAGCGTTTGATAGATGAAGGACATACTCGGGATTGCGGAAATTTAGACCCAAAAACTCAAACAGCGTTTCAAACGCCGTCAGGTTTATCAGCTGTGCCTTCGAATATAGAATATGTGCAAGTATATCGAATGCATCTGAAACTAAGTTAGCGCGACTTTTATCAAAGAAGCTACAGACGCGTACGGATGTACTCCATGTCTTCAGACATCTGCCAAGAATTCCGTGAGCCATCCGCGAAAATACCTAGCGTTCTCGACAACTCGTGTGGAGTCTAGCAAACAATTAGACAAATAGAATAAACCTCCTTCCATGTTAAAATGAGCATACAGAAGCGAGTTCGACTAATCGCAGCGTCACTGCTGCTCCTCCAATTTTCCACAGCGCCGTATCTAGACATTCCCGCGTAACACTAACAACATCACCAAGTATTTCCAGACGCATGCGATCCGCTGAAGCCTTAGGACTGCATACGCCATTCTCGATGTAGGTAGAGGAGACATCTCTGTTCCCATCCGCTTTATTATCGTAGTTGGATCCGAGGGCTGTAATCGAGAAAAGGAACCCTTCCTCGGCAACGCCAATTCCATCCATGAGTATGCGGAGGGTAGAAGAACTACTCGGAGCAATCCCGGTTCTTGCACTTTGGATACGGCCTGCCTTGGTGCGCTGCGATACGAGGCTGGAAAGGAATATGTTAAGGGACGTAGAAGCTTCATATGTCAAGAATCGGTAGAGATCTTTGGTCTGGAAATGTGCATAATAACGTGGGCCGAGATGCTGAATGATATTTGGGATCTCATCAGCTGCAGATTTGTTTTAATTGGTGTGTCAACGGGAGTTCGATTGAACATACATAGCGGTAGAGAGAGCAAATATGACGATGCGATAGACCAGCTCATTCGGGGCGATAATGTCGAGTCATTACTGCCAACAATGTATCTAATAGTCTGCGTCGTTGATTCAGTTCGTGGATAAGCCCATTGCCTGGAGTCAGACAGCACCCCATCGACAAAGACACCTATCTCCAGGTCAGATATACTGTTCAAGAATTCTATTAAAGGTCACATACGAATAGTCGGGTTCGTCGCTCTATGAGGATGGTGGATTAGCACCACGTGGGTCCAACGCGATTTCCCGATTTTTGAGTGCTCAAGCAACGTTCCTCCGCTATTCTCAGAGCTAAGCAATTCCAAGATGCCTTCACGTCGTATAGAAAGGCAAAATAGTACACGCGACTTCGACTGGATTTTGAGGATGGGGTAGGAAGTATCGTTAGGAAAACGTTCAACGTACAACCAGATCTATTACACAAATCAGCCGCCAAGCCGTAAGAGGTGAGGAGACCAGCGAACCATGAAAGTGAAGCCTGTCGACGGTAAACCCCGAACATTCTGGTCACCGAACTGGAGTGCAGCTACCCCTTCCATCGAGAAATGCATTGGCCATCTTGCCTTCATTCCTGAGCGAATGATTTCTAGAACGTCTGGATTTAAAGCACCATCTCTGGTGACTGCGTGTTGGAAGAGATACCGGACATCTTCTGTTTCTGCTCCAATGTCAAAAAGCCTCTTCAGTATTTTCGCATTGGGTACATCGGACAGGAGGACACGATCAAGAATATGCCTGAAGAGTTGCGTGCCGCTTAACAGGGCCTTATTCCGATGGTTAAGACAGACCGCAGTCTCCACGAGCGCAAAGACAGCTTTGGGCAGAAAAATGTCCTCAGCGGGAATACGCGTGAGCGAGGTTACCAATACAACATAGCAAGCAGGATTTTTTATTCCCCGCAGAAGCTCCTTGAACCCATCGAAATCAGTTTTTCCCTGCGATCGTAGGGTCCCAAACACGCTCGACAGAGCAAAGTTCCCGTGAGCCAGCGATAATAGGAAGCCAAACACCAGATCAGCCGTCCGTTGGTCCATCAAAAGGGGTTTCAGAGCTTCCTCTAGAGATGTATAGCCAACATGATTCTAAGAAGTCTGTTTAGTAGAGTAAAAGGACCAAGTGACCGAAACTCACCTGGAAATACTGGGAATTCTCTATATTCCCATTCATGGACTCTGCAAGGAGATTGAACGCTAGACGCTCACATTCTTCTATTTGCATTAACTCAGAGCCTTCCTGTTCTATATAGGAGTGTAATATCGACAGCACATTTATTAGAAGCAAGTAACCATCCAGTTCTCGGAAGACGTCTTTTGTGCACGGTTCCTCGATCATAATCCGTTGTATTTCATTCATAGTCTGCAAATAATGTCAGCAATAAGTTGTAATATGATATAAATGTAGACGCGCCTGAATCTTTTCGTCCAGGTTATATGCCACTTTCAATGATTCCACAGAGTTTCGCATCACCTCAATTATCACATCTCGAGCAAAGTTCTCCGCAGATGCCGTTTCCTGGTCTTCGCCATTCTCGAATGCTGTCCCTGGCCGGGGTGAGAGGTCAAAGTGGTTGACAAGAGGAGTAACCAAGGGTGTTAAAAGTCGTCCGAACATGGTTGTTGCCTCTCGCGCATGCTGACCGGGAACGGTTAGTCCTGCAGTTGACGTCGAAGAATATTCAATTCTATAGACTCTCGGATATATATTCTATCGTCAATTCGGATGAGCTATAGGTAGTGAACGACTTGAAAAGTCGTCCAAACAATGACTGCGAGGGACACTGGACAGAGGATGAGACGAGGCGAAGTTGTTGCGCGATCGCGTTACGCGTGGTTAGCCGCGTTAGATTGAAATTATTACATAATAACATTTGCAAAGGCTAATTGACTAGTATCATCCACAAAGGGTGTGGTATTAAGATACGATTTTTGTCAGAGAATAGTCGACGATAGATGCGGTTTACGTCAACAATAATCCAACATGGAAGGGCGAGGTGACCATCCACACGCATACCTATATTATACCCACGCGCTCATAATGTATGTATTGTTTACAATCACATCTTTATACTACTACAAAGAATATTAATAGTTCAGCTCGAGGCCATCAGATGTTAAGCACAACTCAGGTAGAACGCTTCACCAATAACCTTGAGGCCTGTCCATCTCAATCCTTTGAATCGCGCTTGATCACCCAAGAAGTCAAGCACCCTCACACACTCAACAGGTTTTCCCCTGCTACTGTGCGTTACTCCAAACGCATAGTGATCTAAACGTGCATGTGCCTCCGCAAGTGCTTCTCCAACGTGAACTCCGTTTTGGAATTCACAACCATTTATTTCGAAATGAATAGCTGCATTGAGGAAATCCGGTGTTGGTAGTTGATCGTGGCGACGTCGACTAAGTCTCGTTGCGAGAATGAACTTTTCGCGAAGGCTGAGCTCTGCCCAGCATTCTTTCGGGAATGCCTCCCACATTCCTCGAAAAATCCCATCGAGGAGAACGTGTACGGTCATTGAAAACAAGGGATTGGGATGACGAGGTGGGCTAGGATCTAGATTCTCGAGCTTTACTTGCATTTCCTGGTAGGTGGGACAAGAATGAACGGAAACGGGGAATCCGATGAGGCGTTGACCTGGCTCCGGCTGTAGCCATTCAGTATTGTGGGGCGCTGTTCCGTCCTGAAAGCCAACAAAGATAGTAATTGTGCTTAATGCCGGGACGAAAACCTGCGCATGGGTTGTAACTTCGGGCAGCAACTTCCCGTCGAAGATTGCAGTAGCAGGCGATAGCCGAACATCCCACGCGAACGGATTATAAAACTGCGCGTCAAACATACTGTTCAAATGTAACACGCTCTCCTTCTCTTTGCCAGAGCAAAAACGCACGTAATCTAAATAGAACGTCGGATGTATTTGCTTAGGGGTCCCATCGTATTTGCTGGTTGTTCGATGAGCTTTGAAACATTATCGTCTTGGTAGGACTGTGACATACCTTTGTGATGTAACTTCATCCTTTACCACTAAATAAGCAGCACGATGTTGCAAGCGTTCGTTTAGGTAATTGGCTATATATTGCAATGATGTGTAATAAAATACTTCCGGTCAGCGGTAAAATTCTTCCTTGATTTACGTGAGTACTTACATCCCATCCATATCCAAGATTGACATCAGGATGGTTATAGTACATACCAAACAGATATGCGGGGAAAGGTCCTTGAAGGAACACCTTCGACGATGCAGTAGTATTCTTTACAAATTCTGGTATTGCAGGTGCCCTGCAAGGCATCAAGACATTGAATGAGTGTTCAGGCATAGACTTGTATTGAAGCTTCTGGGCCGTCTCTTGAATAAGGTCCGACGCAACCTGTCGGCAGAACCGAGGTCGAGATGGGGAATCGTACACGTTAGGCAGAGATGAGCTCATGCTGACTGAAGACAGACACATACAAACAAGCGGGAAAGAGGCAACCAAGGCTCGTCTACTGCAAAGCTGATTTTAAAGGTACACGACGTGGGCCACGAAGTGTGGTGGTTTCGCTATGCACTTGAGTTTCTGTTGGATGGCTAGGCCCTTTTGAGCGTTGGTAAAGCTTTGGTGTCCTCACTTGGGACGACTTGCGGCCCAGGATCGTTCAGCGTTGGCCCAGAGATGGCCACATGAGCCCCATTACGATCCTCAACAGAGGTTGAGTTGAGGAATTAAAACCCTATACTCGTCTGCAGGAGAATATTAACGAGCATCAAGCAGAGAGAAATATTAATGCTGGTCATATAGTATAAGCGAATCGAGGACTAGTTGCTGTCCAGAGTTGCTGTATATACCGCCAGCAATACTTTGTTGAGCTCCTTATTAGCAGTATATTTTGGCTACACCAAGACAATTGATTGTACGAGAAGTCGTGAAAGTTTAAGGTACGCCATTACTGTTGAGAAAGAATACAATTGAGGTTACTTGAGTGTAATCGAGTTGACTGAGACTGAGTGAGAGTCTGGAGGGCGACATGATTACAGGTGGGTACGAAAAGTCTTAGTCACACCATACATAGTAGGAGTTTCTCATGCCTGCATTTTGACACAACACATTAACTAAAGCTATTTTATTTTTCATTGATTTACAAAATTACTGTAAATCTGAAGAATCTGCCTTCAATGCACGAACAAAACATCTCAATCTATGTAAGGACTTTGTACAATGTTATATTCAGAACAACTACATCAATGTACACTATGTTCTATAGTTACTGTGGACCAGTTCTGGACTGGTCCACCCCTCCTTTACCTGGACTGTAACCCGGACCTCTTCATACAGTCTGGGTAAAGGAGGGACCTGGACCCAAACCTTTGTGGACTGCTGTTAGACCAGACCTAAGGTCCAGTCCAGGTCTGGTCCAGGTATAACCTGGACTAGTAGAACTTATACTTACAGTCAACTCAAGAGTACATCCCTAATGTGAGTAGAGGAGTTCAAGCATCCTACAACAAATAGTGTCTATTCTTTTTTTTGAAATATGTAGCTAGTGCTTTATACTAGACTATTTACAAAGAGAATGATAATGAGTTTTAAGAATTTTAATTACTTTAAAAGTTTCTGGAAGAAGTCAGTTACACTACTTTGTATCTACAAGCCCTGCACCTGAAAACACACACTCACAAGGTATAGAGGAGCCTTGTATAGTAAGGTAATCCTGAGCTATGTGAGCAAGAATTGGATAATGAATACTATTCTCCTAAAAAAGAGTGTTAGTATAAGGAATGAATGAAATATATAAGCTCTACTTACTTTCCACCATGTGAGTATATTAAAGTTGTCTGTTTTCTTAACAAGAGGATCTTTAAGGTAGTGAAGAAGTTCCTCTCAAGCTACCTTAGGCATGGAGCTTTCATACTGTAGACAATACTCTATAGTAGTTTTTAAGTAACTCATACTTAAGGTAGACAAAGATAAGGTTAGTAGCTTCACATTTAGTAGTGGACTTCCTAGTGTAACCTCTGAAGAAGCTTGATGACTCTAAGAAAAAGTTAGAAAAATATAGTATAAATGTTTTCTACTTACCTACAAAGTCCTCTAGCAGATTTCATCTTTATACTTATTAAACTAGAGTAGAAAGTTAATAAAATAAAGAAAAAGTTAAAGACCAGACTTAGAATTCTGTACTTTAGACACCTTGACCTTCTTAACACTCTCAACAGTAGATGTCTTAACAGGCTTGTACTTCCTAGCTCCCCTTAGTTCATTACTGTTAAGTGAGTTGTTCTCTAAGTCTCTTTTTTCTATAATAATAGTCTCCTTATACTTAGAGGACAGAGCATTTTAATAAAGGTTACAGTATAAGTAACTATTAGTAGTACTACTAGCAGAAGTACTCTTCTGTACTTTCTACAGGTTAGGTAGTAGTGAAACAATATTATTAGTTAGAGAATGTAACTATTCTATCTTTAAAGTATTCTTAAGAGTACTATCTATACAGAGAGTAGGTCTTTCTAGATCTATAAGTGTAAGAAGAAAGCTTATACAAAAAGAGCACAAATTGTAGTTCAACCTAGTCCAAATATGTAAATTGTAATACTATAGTACATTTTCCTACAGTTTTATAACTAATTCTACTGTATTTTAATACTTATTTCTACTACTTTATATATGTATTAAGTAAGGAGTAAACACTCTGAATTATATGTTAACTCAACTAAGTATTCTTGTATTAAAATAGAAACATGGGTCCTAGGTCTAGTCCTTAGTTCTTAAAGTCTAGTCTAGTTTAGGAAAATATAGTATTTTCTAGACTTAGAACTAAACCTATTCTAAACCTAATTAAACTAGACCTATTATAACCCAGACCTTAGGTTTGGTTCTAGAGTTGACCTGGGTCCTGTTAGGACTGTAAGGAAATAAGTACTCATTTCCTTACAATGTGGCCAATCTATTTCTTACCTAATATAGTAACTTGTGCCTCTTTTGTGTAAGGGCCTCTTAGTCTATATTCTCTAATACACAACACTCTGTTAATTCTTCCTAACCTCTAATGTGCCTGTTAGCTTCACAATATTTGTTCTTATTATTTCTTTAATCTTATTCTCAAGTTTCATTCCTTACTTTACTCTTATTATTTAGTTATTATAAAAAGTAACTTGTAAATACAGTAGTTTTTAAGTTTTTTAACTCTTCTTGTATTCCTACTTGTTCTCCTAGTATAAATCCTAGCTGGTAGCTTTGGAAATATAGTTAGTTTAAGAGCTACAGGTCTACATTCACAGTTTGAGAGTACTATTAACTTAGAGAACACATCTCTCCTAACATAAGAGTCAAAAAACTCATCTCTACCTTAAAACTACTCTTAGTCTGAACTACTACTCAATTAATATCCTCCTAGTCCAAGCTACTACTTGACTATCCTCTTTATCTGATTCTACTCTCTCTCAAGTCTAAACTGTTGTTCAATTTGTTTCCTGTATATAGTTAGAGCTACTGTTTAACTTTCCCTGACTCAAGCTACTACTTAGTTACTCTTCCTACACAATCTACTCAATCTGCCAAATCTACCAAATCTGCCTAATCTGAGCTGCTACTTGATTGGTTTGCTTAAGCTGAGCTGCTACTCATTTGAGTATTCCTTACTCTCTTTATAAACATACCTTTTACTTTCTTAAAGAACTATTAAACTGATTTACTATCCTATTAACTCTATATTGTCCCTTACTTATTTGTTACTTCATTTTCTATTATTTTATACTCTACTCTTAAGGTTGTATTGTTACCATCCTTTACTCTCTTTCACTCTTTTGAGTTTGTGTGTTGTCTTTATAATTTGTATAGTTACACTCTTTTCTAAATACTTTTTAACTTACTACTTGTAAAGCTTAATCTCTAGCCTTTGTTTACTAGTTGACTAGAGCCTCTCTTAAGTAGTAATGCCTTTAGAGACCTTACAGTCTGAAAGTCTAATATTGTCTTACAGTTATTTAGTGTTATTAGATAAGAGTTACTAGATTGTACTTAGAACAAAGTACATATAAGTAACTTAAGAGTTTAAAACTGAAAGATTAAAGTTGTCTAGACAGTAAACTAGTTGAAGGAACATTTCCTAAGACTTAGACATTATTCATAATCATTCACACTAGCCTCTAACAAAGACCTAAATGTTTTAGAGCTTGCTTAAGCATTTGAAAAAGTATTCAGTACTTTAGAAGTTAATTTATTAGAGCTAGCTTTAGAAACAATGTCAAATCTCTTAGAAAACTCTTCTACACTCTCCTACAAGCCTGTACAGCCTTAGTAAGGTGTATATATGTACTTAGACATGAATTCAGTCTCTCAATTGATTACAAAGGCTACTAGTCAAACTGTCACTATAGTAATACACTATACTCCTACTAGAAACTGTTACAGCTCTCTACTTTTACACTTTTAGTTTTACAAGTTCTACACTCTTCTGTATTAGAACTTGAGACTTCTGTCCCTCAGGAGTACTGTCTATAGACTATATACAGGCTGACTCTCTCTATAACTCTTACTACTACCCCTCCTTACTTTATTATTCTGTTCCTTTGTCTACCCCTTTATTCTTTGTTTATTCTATAGTCTTTTACCCTTTGTCTATCCCTTCATTCTTTGTACCTTTATCTTTAACCTTTCTTTCCTTCATTTCTTTGTGGCTCATTATTCTTAGTAGCTCACCATTCTCTGAATACTCTTGTATAGTTTAGTATATATAAGTGTACAAGATTAGACTGGTTCTATAGTCTTGATCTTATTTACTCTAGATAGTGTCAGTAACAGTATAGAGGGGACCTGAAGGCTCAGTAAGGGGACCCAAGCTACAACTATCCTACACAACAGAAGTATGAAACACAAGTACTAGAATGTAGTCAGAACTTGTAGAACAAGCAGAGAGAGAGAGTGAGACAAGAGTAGAGTATATAGAGTAAGCCTAAGAGTACAGGACTACCTAGAGTAGACAAGATCAAGACTACAGGACCAGTCTGATCTTGTACACCTATATATACTAAACTACACAAGAGTACTCAGGGAGTATGAGTCACTAAGAATGATAAGCTACAAAGAATGAAAGAAAGGAATGTCAAAGATAAAGGTACAAAGAATGAAGGGATGGACAAAGGGTAAGAGACTATAGAATGAACAGAGAATGAAGGAGTGGTCAAAGGAATAGAATGATAAAGTAAGGAAGGGTAGTAGTAAGAGTCAGTATACATATAGTTTATAGACAGTACTTCTGAGGGACAGAAGTCCTGAGTTCTAGTACAGAAGGGTGCAGAACCCTTAGAACTGAAGGTAAGAGAGTAGAGGATTATAACATTACCCCCCCCTCTAAAACCAATCATCCTGATTGGTGAACATTAGGCTTGGTCAGTAGCTCAGGTATAGGTTAGAACAGTAGGGTTTGGAAATCTGTAAGGCAGAGTTGATAC